AAAAAAAAAAAAAAAAACAGAAACAAAAAGCAATAGCGACAAAAATAAAGAAGAAGGAAGAAACTGATAAACCAAATTCAGTTCAAAATCGTCAAATAGATCAGCTGCTGGTTGAAGGCTTTTCCAATCCGTTGGTTAGCTCCATAGTTACTGCATTTGTTGCTGTGGAAATTTATTATTTGACGCTGTTTGACCCTTCTGAACAATGATCTCTGATACGGAGGGACCACTGATGATTCTCTTTACGCACTTTTCTGATTTCCATCTTTAATACTTTCAACAAACTGTACGTTGTTGCCAAATTTCAAAAGGACTTTTTTTCCTTTCTTCTTCTCTTCACCATTACCACTCTCTTCTATCCTTCCTCTTCCAGTCACCCTTTCCTACCTCTCCACTCTCAAATTACAGCTTTAAAATGCCAGACAAAATATTTCCAAACAATTTACATATGCGAAAAACTCTATTTGTTTGCATGAAAACCTCTTTAAAAGTCTAGCAGCAGAACTTTAGTGCCAGTAAATCAGGCAGTAAATTGTCGTCCAGATTAGTCTTTTTGTGCATGTAAAAAGTCAGAAAATAACTGAATATATTAAGTTATATTGGTGGATCTGTAACATCGTCGCTGTTGCAAAATATGGGAAAAGGAAAATTGCATCTGTTTCAAGAGGAAATATAAAAAAGAACTGTTAACGTATCACGTTTCTTCTATCAGTTTCTGTTCCAAGTAGAAAAAAGATCCGTTAGCCAAACCTTTTATTTATTCCTCTGCAAACATTCAAAAATAATATAAATGAGGAAAAAAACGAAGAGGATGTATGGAAATTTGGATATTAAAAGCTGTTAAACAAGAACTGCGATCACTTTTTGACTCTGTTACCTTCTTATTTGTCAATTTATCCACTATCATTGCCCAAAAAATATTAGTTTATTAGTAGTTAACATCAAACAATCATCCAAATCACAGATAACCAAAAAATAAACTTGAAAAAAAACTTAATCAAATTTTTTTCATACAATTTTTTTTCAACCGGTTTTTTCATGTATCCTAACTTTTTTTCGCTGTAATTGACAACATTACGAATACAATCAAGTAATGTTTATTTTTTTTCTTCTTATTCCTCTTCTCCTTCTTCCAGCAGTATATAATATACAAACGATTCAGATAAGTAACATAACATAGGGACAATCTGTTTGTATGAAAACAGTTGTAACAACAAAGAGGAAAAAGTTAAAGCAAACAAAAAAAAAAATTGAAGTGAAGAAATACAATGTTCAAAAATTAAAAATAAAAAGAGAACAAAACTGAGAAGTATAAAAATTATATTTTAAAGAAAAAAAAACTTCGTTTTTTGTCTTTTTTTTTTTAATTCTATCAATTATTTCACAGTTGCATTACAAATGTTCTTAGGCGGACCTCGTCAGAAGCACAATTATTACTTGTGAATACATATTGTTTCTGATCACCCAAAAGACCGCATACATTTTAGTGCGAATTCTGTGTGCGACAACTTAGCTAGAAACTTTAGCATATTTCTTCCTAAGATTCATCAGAATCAAAGTGCTCATATCACACACATATTAGTGACCTAAAAATTTTGTTTAAGCGGCATTTAAAAGACAAAAAAAAATTATTTTTCATCAGTAACATTTTTTTGTCATATAAACTTACTTTTTCAATGCTTTTTTGAAACTGTACAGAGAAACAATAGTTTAAAGTTTGCAAGAACTGCAACTTAAAGAGCAAAACAAAACAGACAGAAAAAACTTTTTCCCTTCATTTTCTTTTTCTTAATCATTTTTCTTTTCTTTTTTTTTTTTTTTTTTCAGAACACCTTCATTTAAATCTGTTCATAATTTGTATAATTTACACATAAAAACAGCAAAAAAATTGTTTCAATACAAGTTTGTTGTTCATTTAGGATAGCCACTACCGTTATTTTTCAAGACACCTTTTAGTGTTCCGTCCTCGTTGAACCGTACTCGACTGCGTCCACTTGGCAACGATGATGTGGACGATCCGTGATACATATCGCCTTCATCACGGAACTGTGGTGGATGAGTACTAAACACAACCGTTCCCATCGGTACACCAAAGCCACCTAAAAAATTCCATCTGAGCTTTTTTTCGGTTTATGTTTACAAAAAAAACCTAGTAGAAACAGATAAACCTACAGCAAAGTGGATAAAATCCAGATTCGTTCACGGATTCATAAAGTTGGGGATTCCGTCTTCGATGTAACCAGCAACCGTTACATAGAAGGCAGCAGAAGAACGAGCATAAGATACTGAGAATAATGCTAACTATTAGCCCAATAATTAGTAGAGTGTAGTCAACTCTGCAATTAACAATCATTTTTTTGTGCAGATTTTTTCCTTTAGTTTTTTTATTTGAAGCTCTTCAGTGCTGATTTTATTCCTAACAACATAGCTATTTTTGCTCACCACTTGTTGATGAAGTGGATTTGCTTGAACGCTTAAGTTCAGCAAACAGTGATAAATTTGACTGTTCAACATTACATTCCACTACAACCAGTGAACTATTTGTTAAAATCTCAGAAAAAACAGCGTTCTACTGTTAACAGTTTACGAAACAGTCACTTGATACCAAACAGTATCTTCAAAATGTATGCTAAATGTAACAAAAAACTTGGCATTGATGATCCAAGAAACTAACGTAAACTTATGCACTAAAAATCCATCACTTAAATCCTCTTTATATACAAAACATTAACACAATAGTGTGAAAACCTGTCAACAAAAAAAACTGGTAGTCCAACTATCGGTAGATATGTAGATTTCCAAAGGTTGTTCATGCTCGTAGTACTTCAAATGTTGATACATTTATTATAAATTTTTGCTTTAACAATTGAAAGTGGTTGAATGAACAAAGATTAACCCAGTTGTAACACTGTCACTGCTACTGCAATAAATTTTACGCCATTTCAAATAAAAAATATTGCCCTACTCCGAACTTTGAAAAATTTCAAAATTTTGAGTTATTTTAAATCACAAGATAAGTTTATTTATTGCTGTTATTTACATTTAAACTTATTAAAATTTATCCCCCCAACTCTAGGCAGCATTCTTCTACTAGAAAACAAACGGCAAGAAACAATTGTAACAACTATAACTTTTCAATGAAAAAATCAGTTTACAGCAGTTTTTGAGATTACAAATTAATCTTTTTTTTTTCACCCGTATAATGCTTTCAGTATGTTTGGTAATAAAGTGGTATTCTAAGAAGAAGGCCGCGAAAAGTATGTTAAGATTTATTTTTTGGAAGTGATAGCATATAAAACAGCACTGTTTTGACCAATTCGTTCAATCTTTCTTAACAGGATTAGAATGGATATTTCGATATGGTCGTATTTGAATCAGAGTGTCACTAAGATAGAACCAACTCTCAGCGACACAAATAACCTCAACAAAGCAGTAAAAAATTGTCGACCAGTATCAATCATATTGGACAAGGTTGAGAAAAAAACTGAGAGGCAACAATTGTAATAATCATGCGAAACCCAACGCACTAAACTTTCGTAGTACCAAATACCTAGACGTTTTCACTTCCTTAATTTTATTTCTTCACTTTTTCCCCTTACGCCTCTTTCCTAATCAACAACCTTCCTTTATCTTTCCCTTTGCAAAAAAAGTTACTCAACTACTCAGTTTTTGAATATAGAACTCAGTGAACATCTGCATAACATGAGTAATACTAGTTTCAAATTAATTGAAAGCTTTATATAATTAAAATCAAATAAATAATAGAAATATATATATGCTCAGAGAGCGGTCATACAAGCGTATATTCCTCTGTGCCGCATTGGTTAACAAATATAACAAAAGCCAATTTTATTCACATTGCTCAAACAGCAGTTTTTACTGATAGTTCAAATTCTCCATCTCTTCCTCTTCCTACGAAAAGTCACAATTCAACTTAAAAATTTCTTCAGACTATGCAAATTAATATTTTGCTTTTATCTTGCAAGTATGTAATCCAACTTACTGTTTAGCTATTTTTGCACCACAAAAGCTGGTCAGATATATAAGATAAAGCAATTAAAGACAATTTTCCTAATGGAAATCACATAAAATTCTGCCCCTGTAGACATCTCATTAAGTGTTCTTCTTCAGCCACGAATTTTGAATGATATAAGACTGAACATTCTCAACAAATCTTTTTGTAACCGTTGGTCCATAACAATTAACTATTACAGAGGTTTTTCTATTGTTATAGCTATCTGTTATTAAAATTACCGTCACCTCCACCAACAGTGATAGCAAAAGTAACACAGGAAACAGAACTACAGTTCAACATACTTGAAAGCACTGGTACCATAAGCCATAAATCGTTCGGGTCGTCCAGAGTTATGCACAATTTCTGGATGGACTTCTTGAACATAGTTGTTATTATCGTCGCAGCAAAAATATGTCTGCAATACAATA